TCCTGAGATCAAGCCCCGCATCCAGCTCTCTGCTGAGCGGGGAGCCTGCATCCCCCTCTCTCTCTCTCTGCCTGCCTCTCTGCCTACTTGTGATCTCTGTCAAATAAATAAAATCTTAAAAAAAAAAAAAGAATCCTTAGCTGACTGTGCATGATAAAGAAAGGGGATTTAAGAGCTGTTGGAAGCCCTGCCCACTTGCATGGTGTTTATTGACATAGGGCCTCACTGTACAGTGATCTTGGTGGGCCCTTGTTGGGTTACTCCTGCTAAGAACATCATGGTTCTTTCCTACTGAGATGGTCTGATTCAACTGAGATGTTTCTTCTAATCTCCTGTCTTGAGGCTGAGACCCCAGCTATCAGTGTTCTGAGCGGAACAGGGAAAGAACTGGGAGTCCCTACGGTTAACGTTCAGGGTGATTCAACCTCCTGTGTGCATGTATGCACACATGTGTGCTTTATCTTAAGATAAACTTTACACACAATGAAATCACAGATCTTAAACATACAATGTAATGACCTTTCACAAATACATACACCCCCCCAACCCATATTTCAATCAAAATATCAAACATTTCCTTCACTCCAGAAAGTTCTCTCGTGCTTCCTTCCAGTTAATCATCAACTCCCCAACCACCACCCCACCGTAGGCAGCTAAGGTTCTGATACCTAGCATCAGAGATTTTTTGTCTGACCTTGAACTTAGAAAATGCAGTCATATAGACACTGTTCTCTTTTGGTTTTGGTTTACTAAACTTCTCATAGCAATAAGACTTCTCCACGCTGCGTGTAGCTGTTCATTTTTTGTTTTTTGTTTTTGTTTTTTCTTTTTGCTGAGTAGCATTCCTTTGTAGGCATATACCACAATTTTTTACCAATTTTCCAACTGTTGGGCACTTGAGTTGTTTAAAATTTTGTATACTATGAATAAAGCTGCCAGAACATTTTTGTACAGTCTTTTTACAGATACATGCTTTAATTTACTTTGGGCAACCTAGAGTGGAATCGCTGGGTTTGAAAGAGGATGTCCACCACCTCCATTCTGACCTCAGCCTATACTTCCTGATACATTCTTCTTTTCAGCTCGGCTCTGGCAAAAGACTGGGGAGTGGATGGGGAGTGGGGAAGTATCTGTGATCAGAACTGAAACTAGCTCTCAAGCAATAGCAGCTGCCCTGAGCAAGCAAGAACTGCCCCCCCCCCCACCATTGGCCCCGAGACAATGACAATCTGACCTTCACTGCCCACCTGCATGGACCCACCAGCCTTGGTACCACATTTTCTTCATAAAAACCTGGACATATTCTCCACCCTTTGGAGATAGTCTGAGATGTTAGTCTGCTGGCTTCCAGATGGCGGCCTCACTGAAATAAATCCCTTTCCTGTTTCACCAGCACTCATCTCTCTGCCTGTGGATTTTATCAGCAACAAGTGGCCAAACCTGGTCTGCCTGGGATCCCCCAGAGCCAGGAGCTCATGTCCCCTGTGCCCTAGCTACAGGTTCATAGAATTGAACCCATTGGATTGGGTCATAGAGTAAGTGTTTCCTGAATTGCATAAGAAACTGACAAAGGGTCTCCCCAAGTGGTTGAGTATTTTACACTCCAACCAGCAAAGTGGGAGCATTTTAATGGATTCATATTTTTCCCAACATATGACATTGTGAACCTAATTTTGGCTGTTCTACTGGGCACGACGTAGTGTGCTGAATATTGACAACTGTGGAGGACATCCTTGCATTCTTTCAAGTGCTCAACATTTCCCGGTTAAGTAGGATCTGAGTTCTACATTTTGTGTAGACAACCCTTACTCAATTGCAAAAGTCCCCTTCTAGTGCCAGCGGGCTGAATGATTTGTCACAAACAGGTGTTGGATTCGTCAAGCGCTTCAACTAGACTTATTTGTGAACGATATGTGTTCTTCTTTCTCTTTTATTCTATTAATAAAGAGAATTTCATCAATCCATTTCAAATATGAAGCCAAGCTTATTTATATATCGCAGAATTCTGTTTGCTAATACTTTATTATGGATTGTTGTGTCTGTGTTTGACACGGGAGCAGAAGTCTAGCTGAGGACAAAGCAGAAGCTGACCCTGAAACAACCCCCCCACCTTCGGGGTGGGACATGTGTGTTATTCTTCCAAGAAGCTCCCAACTGTCTCAATATCATCGCTTTATTAGAGCGGAAAACAGCCTCGACAATAGCAAGGCCTGCAGTATCCTGTGAGTCTTTAACATACGAAAATCCTTTTGATTTTCCTTTTTCCTTACCTCCCCTAACTCCCATGTATATAATCAGCTTACCCCTCACAACTCCAGTGTGGCCACTCTTTCTGCCCAGGAGTCCTGTCCCCATGCTTTAATACCACTGATGAGCGAGCAGGAGGCTGGCTGAAGACAAAGCAAAAGCTGGCACCTTGCACCCCCTCTCCACCCGCTCCCCTAGGTAATGTGTGTAACATTCCTCCGGCACCCCTGACTGCCATAAAAGAGAAACAAATAGTTAACTTGCAGAGATCACAATCCTGCCAAACAGGAATCTCCCAACTATCTTGATGTTAATGGCTTGCTAAAAGACAACAGTGGTCTCCCCGCACCTTGTAGGCCCTCTTTAGCATATGAAAACTCCATTGAAACCTTCCTTTCCCTCACCTTCCCCCAACCGCAGGGTACATAACCTGCCATCCCTCACAATCCAGGGCAGCAGCTCTTCCTGCCCACAGGTCCTGTCCCCGTGCTTTAATAAACCACCATTTGCACCAAAGAATGTCTCAAGAATTCTTTCTTGGTCATCGGCTCCGGACCTCAGCCCACCGAACCTCACCTAGGTTCTAGAACTTCATCACCACCACCAATTTGCACCAAAGACATCTTAAGAATTCTCTCTTGGTCATCGGCTCCAGACCCCACTGCACCAAACCTCACCTCCAAAACCATATTAATAGAATTGCTTCTAGGCAGTAGAACATGAGCAAAAGTGATAGGCCTGGCTCTCTAACCACCTCCCTGTGAGATCCTCAACACTCTCTCCCCTTGCACCAGTGGGAAGTGATCTTGAAAGTCCTGTGTTGAAGATGGGGCAGCCCAGTCCCCATATCATGACCCAGAGGACAACTACCTGTTGATCAGTCTTGAACAGGGAAGAAAATAAACATCTATCCTCTTGGGGTCTTTATGCACTTATTAGGTAAGAAACAGGACAGGCGCATTAAATGATGTAGTAAAGATGTTAGGGTTCAAAGCCAATGGCCAAGAAGGAATTCTTGAGCCATCTTTGGTGCAAAAAGGTGGTTTTAATAAAGCAAAGAGACAGGACCCTAGGGCAGGAAGAGCCACACTGTACACACTTCACTGCCCACCTGCATGGACCTACCAGCCTTGGTACCACATTTTCTTCATATAAACCTGGACATATTCTCCAACCTTTGGAGATAGTCTCCTAATGGGTTAGGAGGCCCATTATATGCTTTCAAATTGGGAGAGGATTAGGGATAGCATAAGTGTCTAAGGAATTTTGGAAGCAAGGTTTCCAGGACCTTGAGGGGGCTAGCTGCTCTTGAGAAAAGGTCACTTATTACCATCTAATAAAACCTTAGTCATGAGACCCTTCAGATGTGTATCAGGTGGGCGTGGGCGTTGCGATTGGGGATGTTTGCCAGCACATATTTTAGGAGACAGAGATAAAGGAAGTTTCCAAAGGAATTTTTATGTTAAGGCAGATTAACAGGATCCTGGGGGTCAGGCTAAGGTTGCCTTTTGCCGTCAGCAGAGTATCAATATCAAGGCAGCTGAGCTCCTACAGGAATGTCACTCTGCCTGTTGCAAGGACTTGTCAGCAGGTTGTAGGTAGTAAAGAAATTGAGTTTTTCTTTTGCCTTTGTTTCCCACTTCATTAAAGACTAACAGCCAGGCCACTGAAGTACAGAGACTGAAGTTAATCTTTGCCTGAAAAGACTAAACAACCAGACAAACCTGAAAGAAGAGCTCTCAAGATCCTGGGGTCAGGCAGGAAAGAGAGTAAGGCCCTCCTCCAGTTCAGGCACTTTAAGCACAGGGCACAATTTTAAAGGAACTACTGCTTCGGCCCAAGAGGCCCAAGTACTCTCCAGCCCCATCCTTGGTCCTTAACGTCCCTCCTATCCCAAGGCCTCCCTTCCCAGCACAACCCACCACCCTGCGAGGCCTTTCAGGTCACTCTTACTAGGTGGGTTCACCCTGTCTCTTCTCCTGCCCCAAAGTCCCGAGTCAGTGACCCCACTGAACCATCTACCTCAAGCCCCTGAGGGCAGCGATCTGCAGCTCGCTCCAGGGCATGCCCACCCCACCCAACACTGGGTCCTTGGGTTGAACTTTACTGATTTACCAAAATTCAACAGGGTGAGAACGAGGCAGGTGCACAAGTATCTCTAATACAGAAACAGAGCGTGGAGAGGAAGTGTAGGGAGATGGTTCAAAGACACCATAAGGGTGCAGCCCCCAGCCCCCACCCCAGTCCCCGGGAAAAGCTTCCGCGGGGCGAGAGTGAGAAAGCCCAGACTCCTGGAACCGCGGGCACTCAGCTTGTCTTCCCCTGTCAAGGGAAGGAGTGCCTAGCAGGGGCCACCTGCCCGCAACCCACAGGAACAAGAAAGGCTCCCATCACTGCCGCTGACACCGGAACCATCTGAGAATCGTCGGGGTTCCGGAACTGTTTACTCTTCCCTGGAAGCAGAGGGGAGGGGGACCTCTCCGACCATCCCAGAGTCCGGGAGGGGTCTTCACTCAACCTCGCAACCCCAAAAAGGGCAGCCCCAGCGCACTCCGCGCTCGAGGCCGCGGCGTGGTTGCCTTGGAAACGCCTCACGTGCCTCCGCAGGGCTTCGCGGGCCTCGTAGTCCCCCAGCCGCTTCGCTCGGGCAACCCGCGCGGAGAGGGACTACAACTCCCAGGAGGCCGCGCGGAGAGGCGGGGCCGACGCGCGGTGGGGCGGGGCCCCTTCGGCCTGAGGCGCGGGGTCTCCGCGGCCGGAGGAGAAAGATGGCGACGCAGAGGGTAGGAGCGGGGCCGCGCGGGCTCCCGCAGCCGCAGCTGCTACTGCTGCTGCTCCTGTTGCTGCTGTTGCTGCTCGGGCCCTGGCCGGCGGCGGGCCACGGCGGCAAATACTCGCGGGAGAAGAATGAGCCCGAGTTGCCGCCGAAGCGCGAGTCCCCGAACTCCCCCGGCGGGGAGTTCCGCATGGAGAAGCTCAACCAGCTGTGGGAGAAGGCCCAGCGGGTGAGCGGCGGCCGGGGCCTCCCGTGACCCCGCGGGCCGGGGCGTCCGCGTCTCCTGTGACCGCGAGGGGTGGGGGCGGGGCGGGCGTCCTGGGTAGCGGGGCTCCGGGGCATCCTCTGTCTCCTGTGACCCCGGGGAAGGGGTGTCCCCTGTCTCCTGGGGCCACGGGGGCCAGCGGGGGTCGGGCGTCTTCTATCTGCAGGGTGATGGGGCCTGGGTCTCCTTTAGTCCTGGGGCTTTGCAGGGCCTGGTGCTTTCCTGTCTCTCGTTCTGGGGACCCGAGGGGCTTGGGTCTCCTCTACTCGGGGGTCACAGCTCAGGCTGGCCCCGTGATTCTTGCCTTGGTATGCAGATGCCATGGTTAGGGTTGGGGGTCCTTTGAGAAGGCTCTGAAACTCACTCCTGGTCTTGTGAGACCCCAGTGGGGACCCGGGAAGTACTGTGGAGTTCTTCCATTTGGTGTCTTGACTTTCTGTGACATCTGGTTCCTCTTTGATGGAAGTGCTTTGGAGAGCTGTAGGCCAAACGGGAACCAGGGCTCCTTCTGCCTGGTCCTGTGGGTCTTGTGAAATCATGACATCGTCAGTGTCTCAAGGCTGCTGAGCAGCGGGGAAGCAAGAGCTGTTCTCAGAGCTTTGGGAGTTGAGTGAAGCCGAGCCTCTGGGGGTGGTGCCCACGTGCACACTGATGGTCCCTGGCCGCTGTGCCCTGCCTCGTGTTCTGGTGTTCCGGTGGGGGGCACAGGACAGGGCTGGGGACATGTCCTGAGCTGGCTCACAGAGCGCCAGTGCACAGCGTTCACACACCCAGTTCTTTGAGCTCCAAGCTCCTGTCGGGTTCTTCTCCTGACCTTGTCATTGGAATGTGTTGAGGTGTTGTCCTGGGAGGTGGGAGGGCGGGAAGAGGAGGGGAGACTGTGTTTCCCTTGTTCTCTGTGGGCCTCGTTCCTTTGCTGCGGGTAGGACTTAGGAAGGGCAGGGCGGGGTCCTGTCCTGTTCTGTCCTTGGTGCTGCCTTGCCGCGTAGAGGTAAGACTGCTCCCATGTAGAGGCCTCGACCTTACGGTCTCCCAGGGAACTCCCCAGTGTCCGCCTGGGGGCCAGCCTCCTGAAATTGTGCGCAGTCGCTCTGCCTGAGTGCAGAGCCGTGGCTGAGGCAGAGGATTGAGTGGAGCCTGGTTCCCAGGGATTGTTTCACCGCTTTGCTTAGATACGATTGACGTATAAAAACTGAATAGTTAGTACGTTCATCTTGGTGAGTTTGATGCGAAGTATCCACCTGGGAAACCATCGACATGTGTGGGCCGTGAACATGGCCCTTGTTTTGGAGGAGGCTTTCTTCCTGTGTGTTTGCTTGTCTCTTCATTCTTGATGCTTTACCTGACTGTTTAACATTGAACAGACTCTGCTCTGCATTTGAGTTCTGCTGGCTAGTCCTCTTCCTGTGAGGCATTAACGTTTAACTGGAAGAGATTGAAGAAGTCCAGAGAGGGAGTGCTGAGTGTTTGCCCGGAGCTATCTTTGCCTCTTTCTCGATGGGACCTGACCGCCCCTGTGTCCGGGTGTTGCCACTGCAGGTGGCAGCTGTGCTGAGCCCACCGGTGTCTGCATTTCGGCAAAAGGGCTGATGTTTGAGAGAGGCCCCGGGTAACTAGACCCCCAGGGGCTTCAGATGTGAGAAGCAGCGACTCACAGGGCCTGAGACCGTCACACAGTGGGCCGAGTCTGCAGCTCTGGGGCTCCTGACTGGCTGTCATGTTGATATCCCGCCAAGGCCCTGGGGAGGTGGACAGCTAAGAAAGTAAGAGGTGAGTGGGAACGTTGCCCTGAGGTCCTCAGATCTGTCCCCCCATGGTGGAACTAGCTGGCAGGCAGAGAACACTGAGTCCCCAAGAGGGACACAGGAGCCAGTGCAGTGTCGCACTAACCAGAGAGGGGAGAGCTGGGAGCCAGGCCCTCCCTGGCCGTGGCTGTGGCTCTCGGTGCAGACAGGCCCCAGGCTTACAGAGGATAGATCCCTTGGATGCCTTGGTGTCCTGGGCAGACTGAGGGCCTGCCCTTCAGCTGCGCACCACCCAGTGCCCTATCTGCCCTTCCTGGAAAATCCGCATGCCCCAAACCACTGTCCAGTTCTGCCCCGGGGATCCCACAGGTCAGGTGAAGCTGTGGCTCCAGCCTCCCCAGAGTCCTGGTGTTCTCCTGAGAGTGCCCATGGGGGGCATCCAGGCAACAGTGGGGCCTAGCACACAGCCTGGGAGGACAGGTGGGGTGGGACTGTGTCAGCCTGCGTGCCCCTTGACGAGCCTAAGGCATCTAGGTGGGGACACGCAGGAGGCTTCGAAAGGAAGGGTTTGGGGCTCGGGAGAGGGAGTAGGAGCTGGAACACTGTGAGACAAATGCCTGCCCCAGGAGAGCCAGAGAGCCAGCAAAGGAGGGAGCAGCCCCATGCAGCAAGATCGAAGAAACTTTTAGAGCCTTAGGAGAGTTTCCCGCCCTAGGCCCTGCTGTTTATTTGGTGCCATCTTTTTACTCCTGAGGAACTTTCCCTGGCTAGTTTTCAAGCTGATGAAGGACGGGGCCCACATTTTCTGGGCATCTCCTGAGAGGCCTAACCGGAGCTAGGCAGGGTCACCACTATGACCCTTGTAGCTGAAAAAGCATGTTGGCCGCAGTCTCCCCAGCCCGTGTGGGTGACGGGGCTGCTCTGTCTTGTAGCTTGTCCAGCAGCCCACCGTGGTATCTCTGGGTGTCTGGGGAGCGCCAGCAGGTCCAGCCACATGAAGACTGGTGGAATGTTCTGGTCTGAGGGACCAGCTTGAAGCACTTCTGTTGGTCTGGGCTGAGCTGACAGCAGTCAGCAGGAAAGGCAGGAGCAGGGCCCAGTCTCTTGGCCACTCTGGGCCTCAGGCTTGCGTCCAGAGCCTTAGGCCACCTAAGACAAGTGCAGGTCTCTTTCTGGCCTGAAGGCAGTGGGGGGCGGGGGGGTGCTGCACTTAGAGCCTTTTGTCATTGTGTCATTAGCCAGTCCCTTGTGGGTGGGGCATCTGTCAGGGAGGTTCACAGACTGATCTTTTCTTAATGCGGAAGTTTGCCATAATTTAGTCCACTGTCCTCTGATCATCGTGATTTATTTTTTATTGTACTTACATGACACAAGGAGAAGGTGATGGTTTCCTCCCATGCTCAGCTTTCACGTCCTTCCATCTTCACACCCCAATACCCGGGGCCCCACGAGTGTCACTGGGGTCCAGGTGGCTGGTGGGACATCCCAGTGTGGGAGCCGGCCCTGTGGCCTTAGGTGGGCTCAGAGAGAGGAGCTGGCAGCCAGGTTCAGGCCACTGTTGGCGGGCAACCCCTTGCAGACGTGGCATTTCTAGACCATGCCCGGCCGGGGAGCTCTTCCAGCGAGGCTCGAGAGCGGGCTCCCCACAACCTTGCAGCGGGGCAGGCCGCCAAGGGCTCTCCCGGGAACACATGTGGGTTTTGACCTGCCAGGACCCTGCGTCCCCCTGCTGGTCTCCTAGTCACCCCTCCGTTGGGGTCTCCATCTCCCAGGTGGTGCTATTGACTCGTCTTGGGGCTGGTTGTCAGCGTTGTCTGCTCTCGATCCTAGCTTCAGCTTTCCCCTGTGAAGCTGTCCGAGCTCCATGCGGATCTGAAGATGCAAGAAAGGGACGAATTCGCCTGGAAGAAGCTGAAAGCTGAGGGCCTGGACGAAGATGGAGAGAAGCAGGCCAAACTCAAGCGCAACCTCAGCGGTAGCTTTCTTCCCTATTCAGTGCGGCAGGGGGGATGCGTTCTCGGCCCTGTGGCCCCGCGGTGGATGCAGCGCGGTTTGTGGCAGGAGTCAAGCGGGGCTGCCCACCTGCTGCCTGTGCCACGGCTCACTTCTGAGGAGCCACCAGCCGCGGCCACGGCGGCCAGGCCATTTGGGGAGGCCCTTGGCCAATGGAGGCGAGTCAGGACAGGGGTACCTTCGTGCAGTAACACACAGTGCTCAGGGCCCTGCAGCTGCTTGGCGCAGAAGTGGGGCTGGGGCCACCCCGCTGCCCGTGGTCCCCTGGAGGAGACAGTGGAGATGTTCCCAGGGTCTATAAATTCATGGGAAAGCAGATTTCACATCATCTGTAATGAAATAACTTTCTAACAGAGTGGAATGTGTGGAGATGGGAAGTAGTGAGCTGCTTGTTACTGTGGGTATTCAAGACAGAGCAACTAGTCTGCCCAACCCCCAAGGATGCAAAAGACACGCGTCCTCAGGACGGAGAGGCGTCTCAAGCCCCCTTCTCCGCCTCCCGCCTGTGGCATACTCCAGGCGCAGGGCAGAACCCCGAGCTTACTGCCCAGGTGCCCCCGTACCCTCCGCGTCAGCTGTGTCTCGGGGCCACTCCCACACTGACTGCCCTTGCCATCATCCTGTAGTGAAGAGCAGAGGGCAGAAGTCACGTCCCCGACCTGCCTGCTGGCGTCCCGGCCTGCCACCCCCCTGCCTGGGGATGCAAGCACACCCTCATCCGTCCAAGCCTGCTGTAGCTCCCTGCAGAGCCCCCCGATGGGGCTGGAGTAGCCATGGCTAGGTGGCCCCAGGTGTGGCCGGACCTGGAGTCCGCCTCGTAGCCCAGCCACCATCCCGCACGTTCACGGAGCCAGACAAGGGCTTCCTCAGACGTGGCACCACGTGGAGTGAGCGTCGTCTGTGATCCTGAGTCCACATGCTGTCCATCCACACAGGCCTCCGGGAGGCACTTGTCCCCAGGCCTAGACAGACGATGGATGCTGAGAGAGGGTGAGTGAGTGTCCATGACTGAGCCCAGCAGGGTTAACCCTGGGTTCTCTGACTCAGCTGCTGACGTCGCCCCAGCCACCCTTCGTCCCTCACCGTTAGACCTCACGAGATACCTCCAAGGTCTTCAGGCCATGTTGTGTGGACCTGCTTCTGGGTGAAGGCGTAGGTCTACTGCCGTCTCATACGGCCTCATTCTAGAATGTGATGAGACACATGACAAACAGGACGGGGTAGCAGAAGGGTCAGGTGCACGGAGATGCGGGATCATTGCTCCCAGCTGGAATGCTTGGGGGCTACTCCAGAAGGCCAGGACAGGAGCCTGACCTGGAGTTACCCCTGAGGAAAGAAGGCTCTGGAAAGACCTGGAATCCTTGGTATGTCCTCCTTTCTGGAGAGAACCAGTCCCCAGTGGATGGCCCGGGGCCAAGACCGAGAGGAGCACGAGGGTGTAGAGAGGTCAGCCAGCTCCCATCTCCCTCCCTGGTCTCCCACCACCAGCCCATGTCCTCCCGGGCCTGCCTTCCAGCCCAATGTCTGAGTCTGGGTTCCGAGTGGAGCCCTCTGTTTTGTGCTTCCTGGGTGCCAGGGTCATGTGGCAAAAGACTCTGGAGACTGGGAAGCTGGAGGGCCACAGCAGACCCTCTTGAGCATTCATCCCTCACTGGGCAGCTGGCTGTCTCCAGAATGTGGCCTGTACCCTCCCCATCTCCTCAGCTTCCCTACCCCAGGACCATTGACAAGGCTGAGCCACACTGAGGGGACCACAGAGTGCAGTGCGGTGGTCAGGCCAGGACCGAAACGTGAAAGGGAGGACCCAGGTGTAAGTAGGGCCGTGCCCCTGCTATGCACCAGCCCCGTGGGGAGCAAACCGCGTCTGGTCTGCCGTGTCCGGGCCAGTTTTGACAGAGAGGCCTCTGTCTCAGGATGGGTCATGCTCTATCTGCTCTGCTGTCTGGGCCAGCTGCCCTTGTGCCGGGCCCAGCATCCTCAGTGAGAGCAGCAAAGCTAGGCTTGCGCTTGTGGGGCCCCTTCCACTGGAGTGTTTGTTTCTGGCTCCAGTTCACGCTGAACCCCAACGGCTGGAATCTAGAACCTTCAGCCTTCCAGGCTGGTGAACGCACCCTGAGACGTGTGTGATTTGCCCTCGGAGGGGTCCCGTGTGGCAGCAGACTTGGAAGGCTGGGGCCAGGCCCAGCCCGACAACCTCGCTATCCCTCTGCCCTTCCTGCTCCCCCTCCCTGGGACTGTTCCTGTGCGTGCAGTGCAGACTGGGAAGTCCGGCAGGTGTGGCCGGGATTGGAGTAATGCCTCCCATGTCTCTCCTAGTGATCCTGGCCAAGTATGGCCTGGATGGGAGAAAGGACGCCCGGGCTGTGAGCAGCAACTCCCTCAGTGACCCCACCGAGGAGGACAGCCTGGAGGACCCCAGGCTGGAGAAGCTGTGGCACAAGGTACCCTAGGTGCTTCCTCTGGGCCCCAAGACCTGTACCCTAGCGTTTAGGCTTAAGGGGGCTGCTAGAGGCTGCTTCTGCTTAGGAGCCTGTTTCCAGGGGGATCTTGAGGGGTGGGGGTTTCTTCTTGGAACCCCAAGGCTGCTTTTCTGTGGTTGGGGCCCCTCCTGTGGGGCTTCCCTGCCTTCCCGGGAGGACGCTTGCCCCCTCGGAGAAGGAATCGTGTGCGGCGGGCGCTGTCAGAGCCTCAAAGGACCAGAACTGGCTGGGCTATCTGCAAACGGCAAGGCGTACGGCAGCCCATGGGCCACGTGTTGTACGGTGTCCACTTGGTTTTGGAGTCAGAGCCTATGTGCTGTCTGATTCGGAAAGGCGTGCTCATGGGGCGGGTGTATGGGGGCTGGGCTCCTGTTGGGTACAAAGCCCGGGTGGGTGCGGGCAGACAATGGCTTGATACGGCCGCAGTGAGTCACTCGCTCCACAGCCCTTAATCTCCCAGCTCCTGTGCAGGTTCTGTCTGGACCACACTGAATTAGAATCAGAATTTGCACACCAGCCCATCGTTCTTGGTCTAAGGGGAGAGGCTGCAGCAGCAGGGAGGGCGGGTCCACTGTGGAGAGTGCCCCGTGGCCACCAGGCTGAGCCCCAGGACTGCGTTCTTTGTGAGTCACCACACAGCCCCACAGGGCAAGTGGATGACCACGTGGAGACTGGCCTGAGATCCTTCCCAAGAGGGCCCGCCCCACCTCCTTGGGGATCCTGCAGCTCCCACTCTTTGATGGCTGTCACCTCTCCGTGGAGCCTGGTGACGGGTCCTGCTTCGCCCTGTAGTTGAAGGGTCATCAAGCAAGAATACGGGAGCGAGGGTCCTGCCCAATACGAGGAGAGCTCAGCAGCAGCCCCCATGGAGTCCCGGCGTGCGGCCTGGAGGGGTCACCCCAGGGCATGGGCTGGCTCCCAGTGTGTTCACTTCCCCCAGGCGAAGACATCAGGGAAGTTCTCCAGTGAGGAGCTGGCCAAGCTGTGGCGGGAGTTCCAACACCACAAGGAGAAAGTGCACGAATACAACGTCCTGCTGGAGACGCTGAGCAGGACCGAAGGTGTCCCCGCCCCGCCCTCCTGCAGGCAGCCCTGGGGGTGTGCCCTCTCTTCCTGTGCACCCGGTCCATGGGTGGGACTCCCCCATCGGGCTCATTGGGGCACCTCTGACGACGTGAGCATGCTGGTCAGACACAGGGACATGGGTCACAGGTCGCCGTGGCTGCCCTTCCTGCACAGACGCAGATGCCACCCCAGCATGTGGTGTCACCCCTGGGGACGTCAGCAAGCTGGGCGTGGGGGCATGGGGTCTCGGGTCGGCCCGGGGCATTTCTGCTGCAGCAGGCGGGGTCCCCGGCGTCAGCTCACAGCCACCCCTCTCGGCGCCGGTCTCATGCAGAAATCCAGGAAAACGTCATCAGCCCGTTGGACGTGAGCCGCGTCAAGGAAGACGTGCTGCACAGCAAACACGCGGAGCTCAAGGACCGGCTGCGGGGCATCAACCAGGCGTACGACCGCCTGCGCAAAGTCAGCTACCAGGGCTATGGCACCGAGACCGGTGAGTGCATGGCATGCTCCCTGCACTCAGGCATCATCGCCGTGTGTCCCATGCCATCCGTGACGCAGTCCAGGCCCCCTGTGGTGGGCCGCTATCTGCCCTGCTCCCGCCCAAGGCCTGTGAAGGTATTGGGGAACACTGCGCAAGGCTGCCCCCCTTCTCAGGCTTCCTGAGCGCTCACATGGTCTCCAGCCTGAGCGTGCAGAGCGGGAGCACAGCAGGTGCTTCTGCTAGGGACGCAGCAGGTCAGGAGACCTGGAGTGGGGGCTGACTGCTGCCCCTATCCCCTCCCTATCCGAACTATCCCCTCCCGGGATCCACACCCAGTCAGCTCCTGTCTCTCCAGTGGTCTGCCATATCCTTCCAGACATTCTCTATGAACCTCTTGAGGTCCCTAGGCAGGAAGGGGTCAGTGGAAGGAGGGGGTGCAGCATCTGGCGGCATGCCTGCGGGGTGGGGGGCAGCTCTGACCAGCCTGCTCCCCAGTCTCCTCTGGGGAGGGAGGAGGGGTGAGTGGCCCAGGTGGGCACTGTCACGGCGTCTGCTCGGGAGTGCTAGCCAACGTCAACAGGTCCTTTCCGTGTGCTTTGCTTCACTTTGGAGCCAGAAGGACAAGCAGTGGCTTAAACCTCAACCTGGAACTGTGGGTAGATTGACACAGTCCTGGCCCAGAGGCCCCAAGGAACCCTGACAGCTACTGGTTCCCAGCACCCCTCCCCCAGCGAGGGGCTCTGCCACTGGGCCCCTCCCTCTCAAAGGTGCAGGCCAGCGAGAGTGTCGCCAGGGCCAGGTTCCAGTGATGCCTAGAGCCGCGGACTGAGCGTGCATGAGAACAGCCCTCCATTTGCTTCCAGACGGCACTGGACACCCACACGTGTGCGTGCAAACACACAGCATGTCCCTGTGTATGTGTGTCCAGATGCTCACACTCGTGGTATCATCTGCCCCTGGGTGTCAACAGGAGCCGCCACACAATCACTAGAACTGCTTTTGCTTTACTGCAGAGTTTGAGGAGCCCCGAGTGATCGATCTGTGGGACCTGGCCAAGTCCTCCAACTTCACTGAGAAGGAGCTGGAGTCCTTCCGGGTAAGGAAGGTGCTGGTGACGCCACCTTGCGTTGTTTGGCAACTCCTGTTGTCGCACTTTGTACTAATGTGGAAAAGACTCTGAACCGTGGTGTGAGTGGCAGACTGGCATGTTCTTGGGCCTTTTTCCTTATGTCCTGCATCCCTTTGCCATGCTGGTTGGCGGCTGTGGGGCACCACTGTACCCACATCTCTGTGGACGGTGCTGGCCTCTGGTGGATGGAGGGTCTGGCCCCGGGGCCGTCTGCTCAGCTTTGATATGCTGGGTGTAAGGACGGACAGCTGAGGTAGAAGCACACAGGTCGAGAACAGAGTCTACGTGGGCTTCTGTAGCGGCCCTGGAGGGAAGGGCCTTTGAGTTGCTGGAGTGTCACCTCCTGGGGGTTGTGCTGTAACCAGGCCACTACAGGCCAGTGGGTCAGGTCAGAAGGGTGTGGGCAAGAGGCCCCTCTTGGCTGGGGGAGCCTGCCATGGGGGTTCCAGCTGGGGCCTGTGGAGGGAGAGGTCATTCTGCCATGTGGGTCCTGGAGGCCACTGCTGTGCGCACGTACCACGGGGCCCACGGTCACAGGGGCAGGGAGAGGGTAGGAAAGGGGATAGCTGTGTAGTGGTGGGGACAGGGGCCTCTGAGGGATCACTGGCAGGCAGGAGAGGCAGGACACTAAGGAGACACAGCAGGGACATCGGTGACTGTCCAGCAGAGGTCCCTGTGTCAGCCTCCGCCGGGAGCTCAGCCCAGTTCACAGGGACGCATGTTGTCAGCCCTTGTGGTCCCCAGGCAGCCCACTTAGGCCCACTGGCAGTCTGGACGAGGTCACTGCTCAGCCAAGACCGGGCTGTCGGGGGCCGGCCAGCGAGACCAATCCAAGAGCACCTAGCTGGTGGCTGGGGTGGGGTGGGGCAGAAAGGGCCCTGTCACAGAGCCGCGGTGAGGTGGTGGCTGCAGCTGGTGGGACACAAGGCCATGGGGACAGCAGAGAGGACAGAGCAGTGTGGTTGTGGCTGAAGTCCCAGTCCAGTGTCAGGCTGGATGTGGGCTCAGGGCGAGAGGGGATCAGGTTCACCAAGGGGCGGCGGCAGGCCCGGGTGCCAAATGTGGGCGGGGGCCCCATGAAGGCTGTCCACTCGTGATGGCATCTCTGGTGGGTTGGGGCGCTCTCTTTGTGTCCATGTGCACTGCTGCCTTGTCAGGGAGCAGCAGGGATGGCACCTGGAGCTGTCCCAGGCAGGGGGCACATTGAGGGGCTCGGGGTGTGTCCCCTCAGAGGGGGCAGTGCCCGGCTTCCCGCACTGAGCTCTGGCACCCAGCCCTAGGTGTGCCGCGGCTGCCCAGGTCCTGAGGGGGTGGGGAGGTCGACTGGGGACCCCAGAGCAGCACGAAGAGTCCACTGGGGGGACATTTATCTGTTTAAACATTCTAGGAAGAGCTTAAGCACTTTGAAGCCAAAATCGAGAAGCACAACCACTATCAGAAGCAGCTGGAAATCTCTCACCAGAAACTGAAACACGTGGAGAGCTTTGGGGACCCAGAGCACGTGAGCCGGAACAAGGAGAAGTACGCCGTGCTGGAGGAGAAGACCAAGGAGCTGGGCTACAAGGTGCGTGTGCCTTGGGGTGTCCCCTGGCCCCGCAATGTGTGCCAATCCCTCCCCTGCTGGCGGCAGGTGGTCATGTAGAGCTGTGGGACCCCTGTGTCCCTGGCTTGTCCTTTGGCCTGGTGACCCTGCACAGGGTGTGCACGTGAGGCAATGGCTTTGGCACGCCTGCGTGTGCCCAGGACGACAGTCGCCTGAGAATCCTGTGAGGTGTGTGCACAGGCCGTGTTTTCTCTTGTGGGAATGGGGACCGTCCCAGGGCAGCAGCAGGTGGCTTGAACAGGATGGAGTCACTCCAGGGCTGGTCAGGCTGTTCGCGGTAACCCACAAAGCAGGTGCCCATCCAGGCATAGAAACGGGGTTGGCCCCCATGGGAGAAAGAAGCAGCAGGGCAGCGGGGATGCTTGGAGGGGCCAAAGGACGCACAGTACAATCCGGAAGCAGATGAGGTGGGTCATCTTAGAGCAAGGGAGGAGGGATCCTCTCGTGCATCTCACTCTGGAGTCACAGGGATGGACCAGTCATCCAAACACGTGAAACTTGAGTGAGCCAAGGGGGTCTTGACCCAGGGGAGGGGCATGGGGTCCGGGCCCACCTGGCTGCCTGTCGGGGAGGAGGCAAGCAGCCCGCTGGGAGGTTGGCTCCAGAGTGCCGCTGCGGGCAGGAACCTGCAGAGGGGAATCCGGCTGTGATGGGCAGGGGCGGGCACAGGGTGGTCTCTGCCTCATTACCATGGCGGAAATGCACGTGTATGGGACTCTGGGCTCCATGGGGCTGGTGCGCTGGGCGGTTCCTGGAGGGGCCCAGCCAGGTGACTTCTCTGTTCTCTGCCTCTGTGAGGGTCTGGGGTGGAAAACGTCTCTCCTTTCTGCCCGCATCACCTGCAGTGTTTTTAGTGGGTAGTGGTGGTCTAGTTGCGAGAAGCAGCTTTCATGGTTGATTTCCTGTTTCCGGATGGCAGACTTGCCGATCAAGAAAAGCGAGGCGCTGGGGTCCCTTCTAAGACCGTGTGTCTAGTGATGTCGGGCAGGTGGCCGCTGGGCTGACACTGGGCTGTTGTTTTCAGGTGAAGAAGCATTTACAGGATCTGTCAGGCCGCATCTCCAGAGCTCGCCACAATGAACTCTGAAGGCCGCAGGAGGCACCGGCGGGAAGAGGCGGGGCGCTGGGCATCTGCCTGAGCATGGCCCAGGGACCTGCGGTGGCGCTGGACACAAGACAGGACCTTAGACATGGTGTGTGGGGCCCAGCTTCCGATCCCCTGGGTGCCCGATGAGCCATGTATGAGACTTGCGTGCATCTGTCCCTGCGGGTACCATGTCTTTAAAAACATGTCACACGGTGTCAGTTGTCTGTGATGTGACCTGTCCCTCAGTGGTCTCTCTGCATCTGCATCTTGCTCCTCTTCCACTCCCCTCCCGCGTCTTTGCTGTGTGAGTGTGACATGGGCGGGGCCGAGGGCCTCCCAGGGCCACAATCCCCCTGGTTTGACCCCCGAGAGCAGGGTGGATTGAATTCCGAAGGGAGGGGTGACCTCTGGCCCAGGCCTGCTGGGGGCTCATACCAACCCTGCTGGCGTCTCCCTCCCCACCTCAGAGATCGGGCCCAGGGGTCTCCCGTGTCCAGTGAAGGTGGCTGATGGTCTCACTCAGGTGGGACAGCTCCACAGGGACCCTCCCCTGACTTCACTGCAGGCAGTCCATGTGGCGGTCTGATACAGTTCCCAGGTCTGAACCTGGAAGAGGCTTGAACCCAGCACCGCACTTGGCAGTGACCCCGTCCCGGACTCAGGTGTTGGGATCCCCCAGACACAGCTATCCCATGAGCTGTTATTCTGAGAATCAAGTCCACGGGGGGCGTGCTAGGACCCCATGTGTTGGGATGCAGTGAGACCAAGCAGGGATGTGGTCCCTCCTCTGTGGGCCACTGGGCACAGGGCAGGCCTTGCTGCTGTCCTCACCAGCACTAGAGCCTCGCCCTAGGCCTCCACATCATGCCTGCCACAGACCAGCCTGGCTGTTGTGTCCCTTATGGCCAGGCCTAATGAGCAGGGCAGGGTGATGGGCTGCTCAGGAGGCGGCCCAGGACTAGAGAAGGGCTCGCTGTCGGGCTTCTGCAGAGCTTCCTGGGGGCTCCGAGCTCTGGGGCACATGCTCCTGTTCTCCGAGTGCCCCTGTGTGGGGTGCAGGGCCTGGGAGGAGGTGGGGCCCAGAACAGGAAGACCAACAGTCCAGGACACTTGACTCCATTTCCCATCTCAGGAACCGACAACTAGAGGGAGCCCTTGGCCTTCAGACATGTGGGAGAACCAGCTGGGTCTCTGGAATTTGTCATTGTCTCTGACCCTGGAGGCAGCAGGTATGGGGGCGGCCCCCCTGGCAGGGGGCCAGTGGCCACACTGAGATTCTGAGTGATTGCTGTGAAGTAAAACAGATTCATAAAAGGGCACCAAATGCCTATGGCTCATTCCCCCGCAAAAGTGTTCTGGAGCCTACCCCCAGGTCAGCAGAGATGACACCACTGAGCTTGTGTCCCCACAAAGTCCAGGTACTGGAACCCAGTTCCCATGGTGCCGGTGTTGCCACTGGGAACTTTGGGTAATGAGATCATGGGGATGGAGCCCTCAGATAGGATCAGTGTCCTCAAGGCCCCGGAGAGCTCCCAGGCCCTCCCTGCAGGTACGAGTGTACACAAACCAGGAGGCAGCCTGTGCCAGACAGGCTCTGCCCACACTGCGATCACATCCAGCCTCCAGGACTGAGAAGGACAAGTGTGGTTCCGGCCCCGCGGTCTGTTGGAACTGTTCACACCATGTCGACAGACCCCGACAGACCCACGTTCCTGATGGAGCCAGATCCGTGGTTCTTGTTGGATGGACCCAAAATGACAGCGCCTGGCTGTGTGTGTGTTGGGGTGGGGCGTCCACTTCTAGCCACTCTGTTATGATTTGGCCACAATGTCCCATGGACACGTGTCCCTTCTTCAGGGCCACGCAGTGTTCTGTAGTAGGAATGTGCAAGGTTGTCGAGTTGTCTGCGGTTTGGGGTGAGAGCACAGCTGGGAGGGCTGTGGTGAAGGGTCCTGTGTGCACCCGTGTGCGCGCGCGTGCACACACACACACACACGTGTGGCTCCCAGGAGTGACGGGAATGGTCCCACAGCGTGGTCACCCCGGCGCAGTGTGGTCCCAACTGGTTTTATGGAGGGCCAGGACTTGCGCCTGCCACTGACCCGCGGGATGGCACGTGTTCCTCTGTCTTCAGTCTGTGGTCATCAACGTTAACGGTGCTCGTTCCAGGTCTGGTTGCAGAGTTGCTCATCTCCAGGCAGGAATGACTGTGAGAGGTGGGGAGGGAGCGCACGCAGAGCACAGGTACGCAGAGCCGTGCTCCATGTGCACTCACAGCTCCGCATGCCTGGGTGGCCGTCCCCGGAACCAGCTGCCTACCCGCCGGGCAGCCGCCGCCTTTACTCACCGCTGCTTGCTTTCGCCTGTGTATTTCCCACACGAGGGACCAGACCAGGAGGACGTGTTGGCACGTCTGTTCTTTTCCGCTCCGCGTCTGTGTGCCTCGTACAGCAGTGGACTCCGCTCATCGCTGGAGGGTGTTCTGGTGCCTGGACATCGTGCAGTGAGTGAATCCTGGTTCCTCACCGATGACCACTTGTTAACTTACTTGGAAACGTGGCACCATTCTTCACACACGTTTTCCTCTGTTGGTTCGGTGCCTTTGTCAGAGATCAAGTGTGCATGCGGGTGTGGCTCTGTTTCTAGACTGTCCATCCTCAGGCTCTTGTGGTCTTGGTTACAGTAGCTTTCTACTAGAGCTTGGAGTTGGGCGCATTTTCCTCTTTTTAAAGATTCATTACAGGCATTTTGTGTTTCCATATGCACCTTAGAATCAGCTTCGTGTTTTTTAAAAAAATGACTAGAATCTTGACACCTTGAATTTTGATCACTTTGGGGAGAATGGACATCTTAGTATCAGGTCTCACGAGCCTTTCTGTTCCATTCCCATTTACTCAGCCTGTCTCGCATCTCTCTGGACATAGACCCCGAATGTTTCCACAAGATTTATTCCTAGGCGTTTGGTGTTTTCTGCTGTTGGCAGTAGTACATTTTCATTTCTTCACGTGGTTGTTTTCCTGTGATGACCTTCTGTCCTGTGGCCCAGATCCCAGCATATCTGCACACTTGATTGTGTCTGTCAGACAGCAGTCTCGCTTCTCCCTCGAGCACCGTGCCTTCTCTGTGCACACTCACCGGCTTGTCCATCCCAGTGTTGAGAGGCTGGGGCAGAGGGGACACCCCTCTCTTCCGATCTTCACAGGACACATTTAGCCTGCCAGTTAAGTGGTGCATGACCTGTGGAGCTGTATGAATGCTTTTATAGATCATGGGGACTCCTAGCTTGCTAGTTTTCATGAACGGGTATTTAAAGTTGTCACGTGCTTTTCATGCATTTACTGAGATGATCAGAAAGGTTGGCTTCTTGACTGAGTTACTGTGGTGAACCTCACTGATTTTCGAACGCTAAAATAACCTGTATTCCTGGACGGACCCCGCTGGCCATGATGATGGCCCTTCCTTGGCACAGCCGGATTCAATTTGCTGACGGACGTTTGCTTGTCTCCCCCTGAGGGATACTGGCCTGTGCTTCTTGCTCTCGTCATAGGCCTTCTGTCATGTTTGGTATCACATCAGACTGAGAAGAGCGGCGAGCCCCCCTTCCTAGGTTATGCTGTGGTGTGTGTGTACTTGGCCTTCTTTCTTTCTTAATGTGCAGTGGCCTTCATGGGAGCCATCTAGGCCCAAAGCTTTCCTCATGCTAGAGTTTTATATTAACTTTTCTGTTTCTAATACTAGTTACAAGGCTGCTTGGATTGTCTAATACTTCTTGTGTCTTTATGTGTCTATCAAGGAATCTCATCTGAGTTGTTAAAACAATTGGTGCAAAGTTATTCCCTTAATGTTTGTTGGATCTGTGGTGATGCCCCCTTTTTGTTCCCTGTCTCGGTAACTCCTGTTCCCCTTTCCCCCCCAGTCAGTCTAGCTAAGGCTCCATCAAGTTTTAAACCTTTTCCCCCCGAACCAGCTTCAGCTTCACCGATTTCCCTCTGTTGTTTGCTAGCTTTCTTTCATTGGCTTTCACTCTCTCTGCTTCCTTTCTCTCTCATTTCTGTTTAATTTGCCGCCCCTGTGTCAGCTTCTCACCACAGAAGCTCAGGTCCCTGATGAACACAGAAGGATGGACTAACAGCCAACAAGCATGATCCTCTTCATGCCCTTTAGAGGAAAATATGTTCTTAATACATATGGAATATTTTAAAAGCTGATTGGCTCAAGACACAAAGCAAATCCCAGTAACTCAGCAGCAAAGTCAGTTGACACGAATCAGGTTCTTTAACCTCATTGCAGCCAAGCAGGGACTCGGTAACAGAAAGACAGTTAAACTAAGTACATTCAGGAAGTTTAGGGGCACCTGGGGGTCTCAGTCCATTAAGTGCCAGCCTTCAGCTCAGGTCATGATCCTGGCGGTGGCGGGTGGGGTGGGGGGGGGGGTCCTCGCTCAGCAGGGGGTCTGCTTTTCTCTCTCCCCCTCCCCTGGCACGTGTACTCGCTTGCTCGCTCACTCTCAAATAAAATTTTTTTCAAAAAAGTATATTCAGGAACTTTAAAAATACACATGGACCAAAGAAGAAATGACACTAGAAGTTAGAAAATACTTTTAATTGAATGGTGGCAGAAGTACCACACGCCAGACTTCAAGGATGTGGTGGGGGAGATTTTGGGGAAAATGTTGAACCGCAGAAGTGCTTGACAGGAAAGAACCAAGGGGTTTCCGACTCTAGGCCTGGCAGGCTTGGGTTGGGGGCTCTAACTCACTGAAGGGAGCCCCTGCACTGCGGATAAAGCCCCTCTCCTGAGGAGCAGTGGAAATCTGATCGCCTGTGAAGGTGTGACCGAGGTGGGATGGACCACAGTCGCCCAGGAACATGGCCATCCAGGCACTCTGGGTTCAGGGCCACAGGCTCATTTAACGTGGGGGTCTAAAGGGAGAACCTCCGTATGAACCTGGACCCCTTCCGCCGCCCCAGGAAAAAGGGGGCTGGCTGGCTCCTGTGCAGAGAGGGTGGAGACAAGGACCAGGCCCCGTGACTCAGTCTTGGGCCTTGGGCCACGAACAGTGGTCTAACCCTCCAGGGCCTCTGGACGGGCATGAGCTAAAGACCCGTCTCTGGAA